TTTTGACCTCAGCACACAATTCCCTTCCAGGATGAAGCTGTCGAAAAGTTTCTCGCATGGATGTGAACAGTTTCTTTTACACCGTTTAAAAGCTGATCACCATCTTGGGGTATCTTTTCATTTTCAGAATTGAAGATTCATTCATTTTGTCTTTTCAGAGTTCTGTGTATTTTGGAAACTATACATGATTAATTTACCCAAGACATGGGTTTCACACACACACACACACACACATAATATGTGTGTGTGTGTTTGTTTGTTTGTTTGTAAGTCCATGTTTTTTTCAGCAAAAACAACCAGTTGTGTGATGCAGTAATTCTTCTCCAGAACAAAACCCACCTCTGGCTGAGGACTTAATCCCTAATAGAAAATGACTTTAACCCTTGGTCTCTCAGAAATGCCTCCTGAGGTTTCTGCATTGCTCTAACTGCAGCCTGGATTCTAGGCACTTCCAGCTCAGATTTTGAGGGCTTGCTTTGCACGTGGCTCCTGTCTTCCCAGACAACTTCATTAAAGAACATTCACTTTTGTCAACTTCCAGGCTTTTCAAGGAAGATATGAAGTTGCTTTCAGAACCCACAGCCTTACCACAGTGGGCTGAACTACACCGGGGGAGATAACCTATTTACATACTGAAAAGGTCAGATCTGGACACTCAGCAGTTAGAGAGGAATTTGCTGCTGGTTGCAACTGGAGCATAAGAATTGGGAGGAAGCTGGCAACTTTGCTGTCTCTTTGTCTGGGTAGACAGAAAGCGGGGAGAAACATGTGGACGTCTGCTCCAAGTTGGGAAATCACCTCTGTACCAAGAACCACCGGTGGACAGGTTGCTCCCAGCTCAGAGCCTTTCTGATTCCTAACAGGTATGTGCCTGACCATAAAATGCACAGGTCAGCCTCACCTATGGAAACCAATTAATTTCAGGTGGAAATATTTGCATAATAGCACTGCATACTCTATTAGCAAAACACAAACTATTGTAATAGACTTTAAATTATGTAGGTAGTGCCTGCTTACTTAACCTGCCATTTACATTATTAGGAAAGGTGCACTTTTAGAAGGCTGAAGCATCTCCTTTTGTGATCTGTCTTTCTTTTTGGAATTTCTGTATATACCAGCAGCTTCAATTTGCTCATGTGTATTAAAACCATCTTAAAAGATAAAAAGGCATCTGCTTCCTCTGAAGTCTCTGTAATGGTTTTGCTCCTCCATTTGTAGGTTCAAAGCAAAATCGTCAGGGAAATGAGTTCCGTGCTTCCTTCTTCACTGTTGGGCTGTAACATATGGGCAAAGTTACTCCGGGAGGGAGCAGAGTGGGAGAAAGGTACTGAGGCTCTCACACCTCAGGGACGATGGCCAGTCTCGGGCAGATGGGCAGCCGCTATCCTCCTGGCTTGGAACTGTGGTGCATGTGGGGCTGCCCTCAGCGTCCCCGAAGCCTCACAGCCTGGCCCTAGGTGAAGTCGTCCCGTGTGGCTGCAGATTGACTACAGCAGCTGATGGCACCCAAACTGTCATGGGAACCCTGTGTTACATTTCTCTCTCGGGGTCACCAGGGGATTTAGGAAGCCAGATGTGGACCTGGGCTTGTTCTGTCTTTAGAGATGGAGATGTGGCTCCCGGGAAGACTTGCTCTTTGTACACACACATCCCAGATGTCTGGGGTTGCCAGTCTGCTCAGGATTCACATTCTGTGTGGCCCTTTGGTTCTTCTGCTTCCCAATTCAAGGAGAAAGGAGCCCAGGGCAGTGCCATGCTGGCCCTTCACTGCCACCAAGCAGCAGCTCCCAGAGCTGTTTGTACTTGGCCAAAGCAGCCCTGGTCTCCTGAGCCTTCCCAACATCCTCTCTGCATGACCACAGCTCTGTCCACAGGACAAACTGGGCCTGGGGAGTCTGCCACAGTGGCTGGAGAGCTGGAGACAAGGGTGTCGGTTGTGTTTGTGTCTCCTCTGCCCTGCTCAGAGGTTGTGGCCTGTGCTGTGCTCATTCCTGCCGCTCTCTTTTCAGAATCCTCAACTGAGCAGATGCAGTGGGTGTTCCACCAGTGTTCATGACCTTTATGGCCACCAGCCCTCTCTGGGTCCTTCCCCTGGACAGGGAGCAGCACTGGAAGCTGCTCCCAGGTGTGGCTGACATCAAGGCCAGCCAAATAGCCCAGTGGACAGCAGACAAGGTGAGTGGAGCACAGTGAGGGCCTGGGTGGGACCTCCCTGCTGCTGAGTTTCTCTACCCAAGATCCAAAGTCCAATTAGAGCAAGAAACCTGGCATGATTTACAGGAAACTGGGAAAGCCTGTTGCTTAGCCATTTGATTTTGTGCCTTCTCTCCCCGACCTTAGGCCTGCACCCCCTGCAACCCCATTACTGTCTACTCTGTGCAGTTCCATGCCTAGCTGTGCTGGGATAGGTGCCAGTTGTCCTGTCTGGGGCCGGTGTCCACCCCCAGAACCTTCCAGGGCCCGAGGGCTCGGTGGGTCCTCATTGCCAGTGTCTCCATGCAAAGCTGCAATGGTCAGATCAATTCCAGGTGATCTCTCACACACACATAGCAGCCACAGTGTCATGTGAGAGGCTGTGGTCAGACTTTCCTGTGAGCTTGCTTTGCAGTGTTGCCCTCCCTCCACTTCTTACCATAATGTTATAGAAGTCCTTCCTGTTCAAAGCAGCAGAATTCCTGAGCCTTAGATAACATGTGTTCCAGGAAGGGACCAGGGGGTCACTCTGAGGACCAGATTTGAGCTACAGCAGGCATTGCAGAGGTCAGGAAAAGCTCCTTGAGTGCTCGCTGAGATACCTGCACTCCCTTGCAGCCTTGGGCTTCCTCTCCAGCCAGGGACCAAGGTGGCTCAGAGATGGGAGGCAGGGGTCCCCACCCCCCAGCACGTCACACCATGGCCTGCAGTTCCTCAGCACCCCTGGCAGGACTGGAGCAAGCTGGCATTGTTCCAGAGACACCCAACACCCATCCCGACTTCGAAGCTGGCCACTTGGGAAGGAGACTGGTCCTCCTCCTCTCCTGCCAGCTGCTCTCATGGGCCACATGTGACCCCAGAGCTGTAGAAGGTGATCAGGCAGACAGATGGGAACACTCAGGCACCCAGAGACCAACTCATCTGGGCCACGTGGTCTGCTCGTGGGCAGCTGGAGGGAGGCCTGTTGGGTTCCTGGCAGAAAGTCACCTTTCAAAGATGGCATTTCAGGGAGAAGAGAGGATGACAAAAATCTGCAGGAAGGGATCGGCCATAGGTCACCAGTGCCCCAGTGTGGGATGATCAGGGCCTGGACTGGCTGTGCCGTGCTGGGACTTCACACGGGGAAGGAGATGGACTTGGAAGGTGAGAAAGTGAAATGGTCCAGATGCACTGCAGTTTGATTAGTTTTTTGTTTTTTGGGTTTTGTTTTGTTTTGTTTTGGCTTTGGTTTTGTTCTGGTTTTTTTTTTTTTTTTTGGTACCAAGGATCAAACTCAGTTCCTTATACTTGCAAGGTAGGCAGGGGGAACTGCTGAGCTAAATCCCTGGCCCCTGGTATTTAATTAGGATGTGAAGGTCCCAGAGCAGAAGGCACAAGAAGCTCCTGGGAAACAGAGGGGGCAAGGAAGGTGCTGTCAAAGGTGATGCTTGGGGAAAGGACCCAGCCTGGGGACTGGGACATCAGGGGACATTTGATGAGATGCACACGAGCATTCCAGGTCCCTGTGTGTCACACCTGCGCCTGGAGAGCCACTCTAGGGGACAGAACCCAGGGTACTTCCATGAAAGGGGATGGCCAGGGGTGGGGACACGGTGTTCAGAGACGCTCTGAGGACCAAGGACCAAGGAAGGAGAAGGAGAAGTGGCTGAGAGGGCACTCGAGAAGGAGCCAGAGCAGGGAGTTCACACAAGAGGAAACTGTGGGTACGTCAGGACTTGAGATGGGGGTGGAGTCCTGCACACTCTGTGCACTTGCTTCTAGAAGCACAGGACCAGCTCCTTAGGACCAAGGGAGGGGGCAAAGGTGGGAGGGCCAGGCCCTGAGTCCTGCGCTCCTTGTGGCAGGGGCACAAGCAATGCCAGCCATGACTTCCAGGAGCCCCAGCACGTAGGCAGTCATCACAGAGGCCCCTGCTCAGACGCCACTTCTGCTCCTGTAACCGAGACTGCCTTGGGAACGCTCCGAGACAGCCTGGCCAGTGCCCTGTGGTGCTGGCTGTGTCCCATCTCTCCCCAGTCGTGAGCCCCAGGACAATGGATCCCGGAGAGAGAGCAAGCTGTGAGGGACCAGAAATGGGCCTTTGGGTGGCTTTCTGTGAGTCTTTGAAGACAAGGCAGCACCCCAAAGGGCGGCTGCCCTGGAGTGTCAGCAGAGGCTGAAGCAGCTGGTCTGGGCACCAGAGAGAGTGCGGCGAGTGCGGAGGGGACGTGGAAAGGCTCTGAGGAGGGCGATGGGGGCCTCTGGGCTCTGCTAGCCCTGGACAGGCACAGCCAGGGGTGGGGTGTGCGACATAGACCTGGGCGTGCTGTGTTCGGGGCCATTCAGCGAGACCTACCTAAGAGGGATGTCCACAGCAGAAGACAAAGAGAGAGAGCAGTCCCTTTGTCTGCCATCCCTGCTGGGGAGGGAGACCTCTGCTCTGCACCCTGCTACCTGCAAAGCAAAGCTGGCACAGCGTCTCTGTGACAGTCCTCAACCCTGGAGCTGCTGCCATGGCTTTGTGACTGTGCCGTCCCTCCACAGCAGTGTTTTTCAAAGCGCAGGTAGGCTGCAAAGTCAATTGAGTGGCAGGAAATGAAAGGCAGCATAGAAGACAGCAGATGAGGTGTTGTAAAGGTTATTGTTCTGCGGAACTTTTGTTAGAGATGGGGGTTTGAACACAGGCAAGTTATTGCCAGTGTAAGGGTGTTTTTTACTTGGAGCCAGGGAAACATCCTGCATGAGAGCACAAGCTTTGGAGAGTAGGAGCAAAAATATTTTTTTCCTTTTATGTCTTTTTTCATCTTTGAAGCAAAGAGAATGTGTTTGTCAAGTGTTTAAGAGAATGAGTGCATTTATGGATGGTGCATACCTGGATGGAAGGATGGATGGGTGGCTGGGTGCATGGGTGGGTGGACGGATGGGTGGTAAATAGGAGGTAAATTTCCGGTAGTCCATGCCTGCCAAGTGACTCGTGCAAGCACACACGGACTGGCTGCAGAATTGTGTACACATTCACCACCGCACAGGTATGATCAGTATGGCTGGCACAAATATGGGTACTTTTACCTCTTCTATTCTAAACCGCTTCTCAGAGTACCCCATATAAATTACCCTGGCCCCAACCAAGTGCACCCTAAATGTTCATCAGCTGTAAAAGATGGCAGTCACTTTAAAAGCAGTCTTTCCACAGGAGGGAGTGTTGAAAAACTCAGGGTACTGCTGGCTAAGCATCAGCCTTCTACAATTGGGCTCTCACCAAAAGGGCAAATAAACTCTGCTGCTAAAAAATGAGATGGGCTGGAAACCTGGTCCCCAGTGGATGCTTAACTGGTACAATCAGCACACATCTCCAGGCTCAGTGAGAGCAGGACAGCGGCGTGGGAAGATTGAGAGCAGCAGCCAGGCTGGAGCGCAGCCCCGCAGAGCCGGGGAGCAGCAGGACGAGATGGAGGCCAGGCAGTGTCATTCTTCTTAGTCCTCCCAAAGTGCTGTCCCATCCCCGAACGAACGCACTCAGTGTCCTTGCAAAACAGAAGCAGGGATTTGGCCATGGGACGCTGTGTCCCAGGGAATGTGGAAATGGGCGTGTGTCGCCCAGCAGCACCATGCTCCACGCCACAGCCCAGGGCACACCTCATACGACAGCCCTGGATCTCACAGTACCTCTGGAGCTCAGGCCATAGTCCAATCTTTCCCCTGGGATGCAGCCAGGTAGTTGGATTGAAAAAAGCCCACTTATTGCACTGCTGTTCTGGTAATGCAGCCTCCTCCCCTCTCAAGGAATTTACACCTGGGTGAGCAGCTATCCATGTTTCCCCACACACCTGCGAGAGAAAACCTTGTCTTACGGGACAAGAGACCTTTCCCTCTGTTCTGAGGTACACGAAGCTCGCCGCTTCACAGGAGTACTGTGCAGTCACGCAGGCGGGCTGGGGCCATGCGTTCTTCAGGGAGACAAGCACCCACGGATCACGCTGATGCCAGGTCTTTAGATATCTTTAAGGCCTTGGCCAGAGAATTCAGCCTCGATCCATTTCATGGACACTTGCTCTCTGTTTTGGTAGAACAGACTGACCAGAATGGAAATCTCGCTCCACCAGTGGGCAGCGACTCGCAGATTCGTGGTGCAGCCACAGCGCCACAGTGGCCCTAGGGAGGTAGTGCCCGTGCCAGCAGAGGCTACGGTGTGGCAGGAACCCTCACTCTGCTCTGTGACTCCGGGGCTGAGCACATTATTGGTCCCCATCAGAAGCAGTTTTCCTCTGATGCGCGCCTCGGGCCAGAGCCCCTGCTGACCGCTGAGCATGTGCACCTGGGCGGGAGTGCAGCCTCTGAGCAGCTGTGAGAGACCCTGCCTCGCTGGCCTGGCTGCTCCCCCACCTCCGGGAGCCGCTGTCCCCATGGCTGGTGAGGTCCCCCCAGCAGAGCTCCTCATCGAGGCAGAATAAAACGCGGGTCTTTATCTCACCCCTGATCCCTTCTCTGGTTCCGTCTCTCCCCTTGGGAGTCACCCCAAGAGCCCTGGGTGGTCTGGGCATTTGGCCTGCATCCGCACACATCTGTGGTTGTTGCAGCCAGGGATGCTGCGAAGACCCGCAGTGTCCAGGACAGCACACTGTGGTCCCCCAGCCCGAGGTGACAGTGGTGCTGAGCAGCAGAAGCCCTGCCTCAGAGCACAGGGCCTGCCCAGGCTCAGCAGGGCCTGTATCCAGCTGTCCCAGTCCTGGGTCCTCTCTCCCTGCCACCTCTCCTGCTTCGGCTCTCAGTCCTGCACTCAGAAGCACCCAGGCCTCACCCTGCTCCCAGAAGGCCCAGCCGGGGCCTTTCCTCTCTCACTGGCTCACTGCCCGCTGTGCTGTCCACATTCTGCTGTGCACATTGTCACAGGAGCTCAGAACATAAACACCCAGTCCAGCTGCACCCACCGCAGCGCCTCTGGCTTGTGCCTAGACCACGGCGGGTGTGGAAGCTCCAGTTTCGGACCTGCTGCTGCAGGTGCCAACCACGGCCAGGACTGACCTCTGGGATCCTTCACCCCAGAAGCTCTGCCCTACCCACCCCCTGGAATTGTTCCCCTTGGAAATACTGTGCGGGCATCGAGGACCATCTCGGGGGCCCCTTCCCGAGTTCCCACCGGCAATGAACTTGGATGCTCCAGAGCCGCAGCCTCGATAGCGTTTTAGGGAGAGCTGTGCTGTTGGCTGTGATTCCAGCCGGGAGCAGAGAGTGTGTCTCATTCCCACTCCTGCGGCTGCTGATGGTGCAGCCCCTGCAGCCTGAAATCTCCAAGATGGTCAGAGAGACAGACCTCCATGTAAGTGACTGCTGCAGTCTCTGTGGGTGAGACAGTGACCTTCCTTGGCTTTGTCAGGCTTCCCGCAAACACCATAAACACGTGCTCTGTGTGACCTAAGAAAACAAGCACAAAGGTGCAGCAAGCTGACCACCCAGTCTTTGTCATCTCTGTGGGGCAGACTGACCAAGGTCCTGCGGTCTGCACAGCACCCGGAGGGATCTGGCCACCAATCCGCCCACAGCCAGCTGGACGGTCCTCATGTCTCAGAAGTCCTGGAGATGACTGCTGCCCACAGCCGTGACCCCCCACCCCGGCCAAACCCACCGGGTGGCCAGGAGGACACCAGAGCCAACGGCACACGGATGGAGGCCACCATTATTCACCAAAACCCTGGATGCATCAGCCTGGTGACACAAGGACAGGAAGATGCCAGGAGCCAGGCTGATTCCTGAGCTGACGAATGCTAATGTGACTTGATCGTTACTATTTAAACCCCAAGTGTTGGAGGGACCCGAGGTATGTTTTACTCACATGTTGAGTTACTACAACCCCCAAATTATCTCAGGTGTATGTTTTAAATTAGGCTTTTCATCTTGCGCTGTAGGTGGCTGAGTTTGTACAGTCTCTTCTGGGCTGTGAAGAGCATGTCAAGAGCTTCAAGAAAGAGGTAAGCAATGTAAAAATTAGGCATAGTTTTATACTCCTAGGCCCAGAAGTGCTTCCTTTCCGTTTGGTTAAATGTAAACAAGAACATTGTGCAGGCGGGGTGAGAAAGAGGCGCCAGCAGGAAGTGAGCCTGTGGTGTGGAATGGGATGGACGCACGGTGCTGCACGGCTTGGGGGACCAGAAGTGAGCACGGTAGTTGATTGACACCTACAGGAGTCCCTGAGCCTCTGCTGTGGTGGCACCAAGTCCAGTGGGGGAAGGGAGCCCTTGGCTGGGACAGCAGCAGGGAGCAGAGGCTGCTCCAGAGTGAAACAGACCAGGACCCTTCCCCGTCCCTGCCTGCACCTCTGTGGAGGGACGTAGAGAGTCCGCAGTCTTCCAGTGGGCTTTCTGCCTTCTGCCTTCTGCAGCTGGGGATGTGTGGAACTTGTCTGGGTTCACATTTTCCCTGGGGACATAGTCACTGGGGCTGCAGAAAAGATCCCACCAGCGGCAGATTAATAATGCAAACGCTACCAGCTGCAACTTCATTGTAGCCCCGGCCACATGCCGAGCAAGGTGCTGGGCTTCTTATAATGGAGGCATTTTGGTCCTCAAAACACAGCAGTAACAGTTTCCTGTGGAGAAGAGCAGCTCGGGCAGGCTGGGCATGGCAGGAAAGGAGCAGAGTCAGACAGCAGCCCAGCTCCCTCTAATTGGTGAGCCTCTGTCTTGCCCTAGAACTGCCACAAAACCACCCTGCTAGGGACTCTCAAAAGCATACAGTTTGCAGAGCATGTAGAGTTGAGTGTTGGGTCCTGGGCCTCTGAAGACCCCCTTTTTCTGTCCTCAGAGTCACCACTGATAGAGAAACATGGACCCTAAGTTGGTAGAGGGTCGGAACCATGGCACCAAGTTTACAGAGGGGTATGCAGGGAAAACCTTTTCATTCTGCCTTCCTGGATCCTGAGCTAGAGTCACATGAGCCAGTCTGTGTCCCCAAATGATGTGTTCTGGGGCACGACACTGTGTGGCCCATGAGACCTGGGGTCTAGGGTCGGTGGACAGGCAGCCTGCAGTGTCTGCTTGCCATCTGTGACTGGGAAGGTTGTCACACTTCACACTGAAATGTGATTTTTTTTTAAGTTTAAAAAAATGTAATTATAATAGGACAAACACATTCAAGGTTGAGAGAATGATGATTTAATCTGCTGTATACATGGCGTAATAATTGATCCATAGGGATCAAAGAGACATCCATCTCGTTCATTCAGGACATCAGGTTCCCCAGAACTTGCTGCCTTCCAGCTGGGGATCCTTCTGAACCAGTTTTAAAATCCGTGTCCAAGTCAAAAATAAAGCATTTATTTTGTTGGTATTTCTGCTTACCATAGTCTTTGTTATACAAAGGAACCTTAAAATGTAGGACAGTGAAAACGAGAAAACAGAAAGCTATCACCATCCCGCCAGCCAAAGATAATTCCATTAGCATTTGCTATGTTTTAATACTTGTATTATACGTGGGGGTAGGTAGACTTCATTTTCAAAATTAAAAGTGAGACCTCTGTCGTATCACATATTATTTATTACTCAACAGTGGGTGAAATTTCCCAGATCATGCAGCATTCCTCTGAGACGTGGATTTGGTAACCGAGAGGCGCCCATCCCAGGGCGGTACCATCATTTATTTATTTCTGCTACGAGGAGAAGCCTGGGATGAGTTCCTCTAATTCGAGATGTCCACATGGCGCATTGTTCTCCTGGGAAAGACTCCTGGAGACTCACAGTGCTATTCTTAAAGCTCTTCATACAGATCCAGGCAAAGATGGATAAAGCGCAGCAGAAACCAGCCTGCAGGGGGTTAGTGCAGGAGCCTGAGCACCTTTCTTCTTTGCCTTCTCTCTGTTTCTGGAGACAGTGATGGGGTAGGGGCCAGAAAGGGGGCCCCTCATTCTCCTGCTGCCAGCTCCCCAGAATCCCTCAGCATGCAGGAGCCCGGCTGGGAGGACCAGCTTTTGTGACAAGTGGTTTGACTTGAATTTGTTTTTTGTTTTTTCACTTCAGCAGACTGACAGCAAAGCCTTCCCGCTTCTGACCCAGAGGGACATTGCCAAGATCATGAAGATCAAGCTGGGCCCCGCACTGAAGCTGAGCATCCACAGTTCTATCCTAATGTCCAGGACCTTTGCTTTGGGCCAGGACCCCAGGTGGTAACCGGCTCCCACCCCTGCAGGGACCAGACCGGTGAACTCCAGCAAGGGGACCCATGCCCGTAGTTTGTCTTAGTGACTCCACAGAGGTAGCCAGATTCAGTGTGGCCCCTCATCTGCGGCTTGTGAGGGCTGAGGATTACACCTGCTGACGAGGCTTCAGGATGGGGTTCTTCCTGCAGCCAACAGACTGAAGAAACCCACACGTCCACGTCCACTGTGTTCCTCTCCCCGGGAAGGAAGCCCTTTTCCACCTGCACATGTAAGACTTTCAGCGATCAGCAGTCAGCAGTCCTCCCCCATGTGCTGTACATGTTTTCACCAGAACCAGGCCTAGCGCGGCCTGTGGCTAATGTCTGGGCTCAGTGAGTCTTCAAGAGATGGAGCCTGGGTGCTTTAGACAAGACTTCATGGGAGGTTTGTGGGTGCTTTCCCGGGAAAGTGTGGCTCTTTAAGAAATCACAAGTATGAGTTTCCGTGATGCACGACTTCTCCTTTCTCCTCCATCAGCTGCTTCTTGGTTACAGTCACAAGGTATTCTGGAGCGCAGTAGAGGAATATGCCCAGGAGAGAAGGAGACGGTCAGATGTGCATTTCTAGAGGCTGGCGAGACCCCAGGCCCCTCCCCTGGCACTGGGACCTCGGGGTCCGTTGTGACACAATGGGCCAGGCCTGTCCTCACCGAGGCTTCAGGAGTACCGATTTCTCCCGCAGTGCTTCGAAGCTGGATAAGGAGAACATCCCGGGCCCGCACTCACCTTTGCAGCCAGACACCATGGGGAGATCTCTGGGCCCGGCTGCCCATCATCTGCTTACCTTGAAAGACTCTGACTTGTTATCCTACAGCATTTCTGTTTTATAAGTGATTTTATCTGACACCCTAGTGCTTACATCTGGTATCCTAGTCCCACAGTCATGAAAGACAAGGCCCTCTGGGTTCTTCCTCTTCTTATACTCACTCCTTACCTATAGCAACAGCTAGAGGTGTCCTCACGGAAGTGCAGACTCAGCCATCGTTTGGGGCTGGGGAGAAAAAGGGGGCTCGTAAAATGTGAGCCTCCACAAAATCACATGCGCTGCTTCATGCAGAACCTTAGTGCTTTAGGAAAGTTCATTCTGCCGAGAGATGTTCTCAAAATGTAGTCTTCTCTAAGAATGTGCCTACGCTGAGCTTCTTTAGCTCCTTCTCTAAATGTAATTTTAATACATTATTGGCTGACGTAAATTTTGTTTCTGTGTTTTTTGTAGACAGCCCTGTGCAGTTAAAATTCCTGCTCCTGCTGTTAAATTTTTTAATATATTTTAAATGATAATAAACAGATGAAATGACATCCACACCCCGCACTGAGTGAATGTGTCCTTGTGGCCTAGGCCACCTCGCTGAGATGTAGGAGAACACAGGTGGCTCAGCGGCGACGGGCAGAGTCAGTGCTTTCAGCCACCCCTCGTTCGTTGTATAGGCGCCGTGGAATTCCCAAGACTCGAGTTGGATATTTAACACGTCGTTTCCACAGTAGGACCTGGAGCTGAGCGATGCCAAGCAAATCGAGGGGGATGATCATTCCTAGAAGAAGGTGTGGTCTTCTCCGGGTAGATCCAAGTGTCTACCACCTGCTAGACACTACCGCTCCACCGCCAGGTGCCTCGGCCTTGACCTCTTCCAAGGGGAGCTCAGTCCTCGGCCCCTGAATTCTGTGGTCAGGAGCAGCCCATTCTAGGAAGTGGAACCCTAAGCTCGCCTGTGTCTGTCCATCCCACTAGTGTAACTTCCTGTACAGCCGTCCTGGAGAACTGGCCCCACGCCGTGCCTGCTCCACTCTCTCCTCTCTCTGTGTCACTCCACGCTGGAATCTTCACTGAACTCCTTTTCTCCAAACTCAGCCTGCCCTGCGACCTCCCAGTCTTGTCCACGAATTCCAAGGTGAGATCCCGCTGTCCAAGGCGTCCTGGCCACGCCACCTCTGCAGTCTTTCCCAACACCCTGCTGTCGGGCCCCCCGCGCGTCTGTGCTCATCCAGGATTCTCTGCCCTCAACCTTGCTTCTGACATTCGTCAGCACAGAGTAAGGCATCTGTACATCGGGGGATGAAGCAGACAGACAAACTCAGGTGCAGATCCCAGGGCCAGCTTTCCCGGCGGGCGTGGCCTCCCTCTAACAGGAGGAAACCACACTACACCCGGCCGGAGGTTTGATTTGGGCGTGTCTGCGCCTATATAAATGCAAGCGACGTAGCACATAAGATGCTACTGCCCTGAGTAGCTGCGAGGAAACAGCAGCAGCCCAGACCGATTTCTTTTTGTTTATTAGACACACAAGCTTAAATATTGCATGGTGTCTCTTCTATGACAAGCTCGGAGTATAAACAAAATGCAAAATAAACATGTAAATAAGGTTCCAAATGTATAATTGGTATTGTGTAATAGGAAGAAAAGGGCTAAAGGTGCAGGTGAAGTGGGAAGGGTAGGGGAAAGGTAAGAAGGGAAAAGAAAAAATATGAGAAAAGGGAAAAATGGAAACAAAGTCTTTACAAATAGGTAGTGTGGAAGGGGTGAAAAGAGGGCAGAAAAATGGGGAAAAAATAAGAACCAAGATAGGTCATGTAAAGGTACAAGATCCCAATGATGAATGTAACTGTACTGTGTACCTAAAATGTAATAAACTTAATGGAAAAAGGTAGATACTAGGAAGTAGGGAAATCAGTCTTTCCCAGAGAGGAAGGGGATCAAGAGATAGAGGGAGGAAAGGAAGGGGAAGGGGAACAGAGACTGAAATAGGATGTGTTATGTACATGTGCAAATCCATTTTTTACGTCTGCAGTGGATCGATCTCCCAGCTGCAGCAGCAGCAGCAGTCACCACGGTCAAGCTCTTCATTCCACAGTGAGCCTAACCAGCTTGACGACTCTGTCCCTACTCCACCTAGAGTGGCTGTGTGCCTAGCCTGGGGCCACTGAGGGGGCCTCAGTGTCCAGGCTCAGCTCTGTCCCCTCCTCTGGCTTCTACACCAGCCAGCTAGCTCCCCTTTCCCCTCCTGCTGCTCCCCAGAAGGGTTGGAACTGTAAGAGTTGAGACTCTTCACCCTGCCAGGAGAACCCCAACACACACACACACACACACACACACACACACACACACACACACACACATACACACACACAGGCTGGGACAAGCAGCATCCAGAAACGGTGCCAATGGCAGGAAGGGCACTGGCTTCAGCCTCCTTCCTGAATCCCACCTGGAATATGAGTTTAATCAGGGAGAAAGCAGAAAATTGCCAACCAGCCTTCAAGAAATTCAAACTTCTAGGTTCCTAGAAAGAGCTGCCCCATAGGACTATTTGTAAAACACATCATGAATACACAGCATGCAGCTGGAAGTTAGTTAGATCATTAGCAAGAATCCTGAGGGAGCTTGGGACTTTGAAAACTGTAGTCTTTGAAAGTCTGCAATGTCAGATAACTTTTGTACAAAGAAGTTTCTCTGTCACTTCCAACAGCCCAAGGACATCTGTCCTTAATCTCTGAACACTTCCTTTCTCCTCCTGGAACATGCTGACCTTAAATAACTCCGGTACTAAAAGAGATTCCAGGAGATTCACTGCTTACTCACATGACATTCCTCACTTGCTGCTGACTTTTGAGTCATCTCTGTCCATGGGATCCCCGTCTGGAGTCCTTGGCCTGGTGGATTGCAGGATCCAGAAGTGTTTCTTAACTGCACAGCAAGGGCAGGCTCACATTTACCTATTCGGGCTTTGCTTCCTATTATTTTAAGGAATGTTCACTTTGTCCCTGCAAGTCCTGAGGCTAGAGAATATTATCGTGAATGTGCAGTGTTCTTGTGAATATATTCTTACTCCTTGAGAATATGTGCTCCGTGAATATATTCTCTTATAAATGACTTCCTCTTAAAAACTTATAAATATATTCATGAAGAGTATATGCTTAATAGATTCTTGAATATTCAGAATCATAAATGTATTCTTCCTATGAATCATTTTATTAAAGAATTTGTTCAGAAGAAATCTTTCTCTGACATAAATTCCAGTGATGTCCTGTTGGGGCCTTGGTCCCTCTGCCCTGCACTTTCTCACTGCAGTAGGAGCAGGGACAGTTGGACTCTTTAAGATAACGCTAGGAAAATAAAAACACAACTTGCTCGTCTCAAACTCTAGCATGAAAGGAGTCAGTGTGCTTGGTGCCTTGGAGATCAGCAATTTGATTTCTCAGGAAATTGTCTGCCTCCATGTCTTTGTATCTGTGTGTATTCCTTGTAGAAGGATGATGGATTTTGAATCAGTGATCGATAGAACACAGCCGTGCCGGTCCTGCTGGAACCCCAGATGGGGGCCTGGGGACTTCAGGGGACCTGCAGGCATCCAGGGAGACAGCTTCAGAAGGCCGAGGGGAGGACAGTGGGGAAGGGGCCATGCTGCACCTTCTCAGTCCCCTGTGTTAACGGTGGCCCACGACAAGGACACCGAGATGAAGAAAGGGACAGAGAAAGGCTGTGAACAATCATTAAAAAGGAAATGGGAAGCAAAAGGCAGGCAAAATGAAACTTGAGCTCAAAATGTTGAGTGAGAGTTTATTTTCCCCCAGTGGTTCTCTTCCAGGGGATCAGACTAGTGACTTTGTGCTATATTTTGCCAAGGAAGCAACACCCAGAAGTTTCTCATTCATTTCGCCTTGGAATTGGATTGTGTTCTCTTTGTTTCAGAAATCAAGGCATCAAGGCAGACCCATGCATGAAGAGCACATGCACTGAGGAATTCCGGGTTCACTGGGGCTTTTCCTGCAGATTGAACTGCAGGGAATAGTGGCCATGCTAGACACAAACAGGCCGTGTTTTGGAAACACAGGAGTCTGCAGTTCACTGGGAAATGCTGGGGTCCCAAAGGTGCTTCTGCAAGAAAAGCCATCAAGAGCTGCTGACTCATAGGAGCTTGTTTCATCTTTTTCAAAAGTAAAGAAAGAAAAGGTGTGTGGACAAGATCTCTACCTGCCTGCCTTTGGTCTGTTTCTGTAACAGGATGGCACAGATCAGGTCGTGTGTAGAAACAGCAGGAATTTATTTCTCACAGTTCTGGAGACCATGAGGAAATTGTCAGCAAACCAGTGATGACCTTGATTCCAGATCACGCCCCAGCCAGGAGGGGGGCGGTGAAATCGCATCCAGGGACCATGAACTTTGTGGGTCTCTGAGGTTAGAGTCCTGGGACTTAGTCACTTGCAGAGAGCTGTGCATGGTGGGAACACAGGGATGGGTCTGTATTCCCTGGCATAGAGGGAGCAGGATGGGCCCCAAAGCCATGGAAGATGTGATTCCTTACCAATGGTCCCATGATCTGAGTTAGCATCTACTCTCACAGTGTACTTCAAAAGGCAGTGCAGGTTCTGACAAAAGGAGTCCACAAACCAGTCAAGAAATGCTTTATTAATAAAGAAAAAAGCTCACATTTATTTGGTGTTGATATATAATTTTTCTTCCTTTTTTCATTTTTAACCAATTTGCAATCATCCTCCGGAACAGCCAACTTTATTTTTTTTAAAGCATAGATTTGTCTCTCATAAGCTCTCGGTCCTGTCAGTGTGGGACCTGGGTTCCCATTCCTGACCTCCAAGATTTACCTGTGTGCCTTCAGACGGGAAAAGGTGAGTCTGAGATGAGAGAAATGTCCTTCAGAGGAACCAGCAAACTCAACTGTGCAGATGTCCAGGACAGCATTTTTTAAATTTTTTCATCCAGGAGATATTCCCTGAGAGCCCACTCTGAGCCGGGCCGTTCCTGTGTTTGGGATATAGCTGAGAACAAATCAAATAAAAATAGCTCTTCTCATGAAGCTCTTGTTTAAGTAGGTAGAGATAAACGATAGATAACAGGTATGAAAAAACGAAGCCGTGCAGAGGAAGGATCAAGAGAAAGGCTAGAGCCTTATGTGCGGGGCAGGACCGCTCTGGCCCTTGGATGTCACAGAAAACACGGCCAAGTGTTACCTTGGAAAAATAAGCTGGTATCCCAGGACACGAGACACAGACAGATGCTGCCGCCACCCTTCCTGCCTTGTAAACCAGGACTGTGTGATCGTCTGGCCCCCACCCGAGAACCAGCTCCCACCCCAAGGTTTCTCTGCACACACTGCTCATGACTGGCTCAGGGCTGTCAGCCCTTAGGTAAACCTGTTACCTTGAGATTTCTAGGCCTTTCCCCGCTCGGATTATGAGTGTGGCAATTAGCGAGAAGTAA